CTGCCTAGAGTGAGTAGCAATGGCGGTGGTCAAAGCAATGCATGGAGGTGTTGGCTTGACGAGGAGCTCGGGAGAGCGCAAGAGGATCCAGATCCAGATCCCGCAACACATCACTTGTTGCGGAGGGGGATTGCAACAACAACTAAGTTGCGCAAAACTAGTCGAGGCAATACGTTGCTCTTGAGCCATCCAATTAAAATCTGATCTGACGGCCATGAAGCCGATGCATGCAAGCGTTGTTACCGATCGGGCGATTTGAATCATTCTCCCCACCCTCTCCCCTCAAAAGAAACCCACAAAAAATAAGACTTGAACCAGACCGGAATCTGCCGGAAGTTCCCAAAAGCAGGAACAAACAGGTAGAACTGTGTCTCGCCTTAAGCGAGATGGTAGGAACCCTCGCTTAAGGGGAGACCAAGATGGGCCGGCCCAGGAGCGAGGGAAGCCACAAACTCCTTTTTTCCTTTTTTTACGTTTTATGTTTCATTTTTGCTTTATTTTTTCATACTTTAAAATATTGAAAATATATATATTACAAAAAACACTGTATAAAAAAATTGAAAAAAATGTTCACCAAGCATTTGAAAAATGTTGAATATGTATAAAGAAAAAATGTTAAAAAATGGGGAAATGATTATTGTCGGCCGGCTGATTCAGCGTGGGGCGTCCGCCACCACTAGCGCCTGACGGGTGTCCCCTATGGGCCCGTGCACCGCTCTACACTTTCCTTCCTTATCCCATCCAGATCCCCTTTTCTCTCTATTTCTCTCCATCATCTCTCCTGCGTGGTCATGGGTGGACAGCCACACTCATGCATGGAGAGGTCGCCTGCACTACGTGAGGTGCTGCACCTCGCCGGGCCGTCAGCTGCGTCCACTACGACCACCGACGCTGTAGGGCCGTTGGTTGCAGCGGAGCACCCAAGCTTGGCACAGTCCTGCTGATCTCCTCCATGCAGTTTCCAATCACCACTGGGCAACTGCGGCGACGACGACTAGCGAGGGGATGCTGCTGTGACTTGCGTCGGCAACGGCGGGAGGCATTTCTGCAGCATCATCTTCACTGCAAAAATTTCTACAACATCAACTATGTTGCAAAAGTTTCTTCCGCAACATCATCTATGTTGCAAAAAGGCGAAGACAAAAAAAACCCGCAACATGACCTATATTGCAAAAAAATTCTGCAACATAACCTCTGTTGTAAATATTCCTACAACATTACCTCTGTTGCAAAACTAAAGAACGTCGCTCGGCCGCTCGATGGCAGATGATCTGACGGCTCGCGACTTGGCGGCTCTTCCAAAAGGATCCGCCGGCTGACATGTAGCATTGCCTGAAAATGAGTATAATTTTTTTGATCATGTATTTAAAAATGTTAATCAAGCATTTGAATTTTTTTTGAACAAGTATTTCAAAATTGTTGATCAAGCATTTGAAATTTGTTAAATGTGTATAGAAAAAATGTTGACAATGTATTAAAAATGATGAATTTTTTTATTTTGTATATAAAAATGTTAATCAATCATTTGAGAAATGTTGATCAAGTATTCAAAAAATGTTAATTGTGTATATAAAAAATGTTGAACATTGATTAAAAAACAATGAATTATTTTTATGGTCTATATAAATATGTTAACCAAGCATTTTATAAAATGTTCAAGAATTATTTGAAAAATGTTGATCGGGCATTTGAAAAATGTTAAATGTCTAGACAAATTTTTTGGACCATGTATTAAAAAAATGATGATTTTTATGATGTATATAAAAATGTTGAGAAGTATTTGAAAAATGTTGATCAAGCATTTGAACAATGTTAACTGTGTATAGAAAAAATGTTAACCATGTATTGTAAAATGATGATTTTTTTAATCATGTATTTTAAAAGTGTTAATCAAGCATTTAGAAAATATTAAATGCGTATTGAAATAATGTCGACCATGTGTTAAACAAATGTTGATATTGCATTCATAATACATTAATTAAGCATTTAAAGAAATCCCAAATGTGCATAGGAAAACTGTTGACCATGTATTAGAAAAAGTTAATCTTATATTTGAAAAATGTTAATCAAGCATTTGAAAAAATTTAAAGTCTGTATAAGAAAAATGTTGTCGATTTATTCAAATATGTTAAACATGTATTTGATTTTCTTAAATATGTATGGAAAACATGTTGACCATGTATTAAAAACTATTAAATTTCTACTGGAAAATGTAAACTTCTATTAGAAAAATGTTGCTGATATATACAAAAATGTAGAATGAACATGAAATAAACAAAGAAAATGCCAAAAGTAAAAATATAAAAATAAATTAAAAATAAAAAAAACAAAGAAACAAATACAAAAATGATGAAACAAATCAGAGAAGAAAAAAGAAAAGAATGAAAAAATTGGAGAAGAAAATATAAATAAAATAGATAACAAAAAAGAATGAAAAAAATCGGAGTAAAAAAATGAAAAGAGTGAGAAAATCGGAGAAGAATAAAGAAATGAAAGAAAAAAAAATGGAAAAATAAAGGAAAAACAGAGAAGACCGGAGAGAAAAAACGAAGAAGCGTACGATTTTTTGTTAGAGTTGGGAAGGGCTAACTGCTGCGCAGGCGGACTGCGGTAGAGGGGATAGGTTTGCTAACCCTAGAACCCCACCGACCCCTTACATATAGCGCCGGAGGGATGGGTATGCAGGCCGCCTATAACTTTTTGATGGATCGGGTTCGTTTAGCGGACCTATTCAGGCTGAAAAAACAGGATCCTGCAAAACGGACTACATTTCACGGGTCGACAAGCTTTTGAGGGATCTACTAGAGATGCTCTAAGGGGTAATTCTTGCAAATGTCACTCCCACCTTCACATGTGCTTACAGGTGACACACTACATGCGCGCCACTTCGTACTTTCACCATTGGATTTCTCGTGTCGAGATCTTTGAAACTAGAACCGTGTAGGTTTCGATGAACTTTTTTTTCAAAAGAATGGGTTGAAATCGAAAGAAAAAACCCACGCCGGAAACACTTTTTTCCCACCTTTCCCCCTTTCTAGGAAACACAGTTGTGCTTCTCACGGAAGTAAATTTGTGTCTCCACGAGAAGCAAATTTGTGCTTCTCATGGAAGCAAAAAAAATCACATTTTTTCCTTTCTGAGAAGCACGGTTGTGTACTTCTCACGGAAGCAAAATTGTGCTTCTCATGAAAGCAAATATGTGCTTCTTATGCAAGCCAAAAAAATGGCATTTTTATTGTGCTTCTCGCAAAAGTAATTTGTACAGAGGAAACTATATATGCATCTAATGGAAGCATTTTATTTTATGTTTTTTCCCGCAGAAGTAAATATGTGCCTCCACAAGAAGCAATATGTGCTTCATCAGAAGCAAATCTGTGCTTTTCATGAAAAAAATTCATCCTTTTCTCCTTTTCGAGAAGCACGGCTGAATCAAATATGTGACTCCACGAAAAGCAAATCTATGCTTGTCGTGGAAGCACAAAATTTTTTCGTGCAATTTTTTTGCATGAAAACCAGGCGACAATCAAAAAGCAAAGAAACCTCAAAAAGCCCCATCTAAAATCTGAAAACACATAGAAAATAAAATCCCGAGGAGCGCCCAACACGCGACATGTGGCGGCGCCTGAACAGCCCACTTTGTGTGCTCTTAGCCCACAAGAGTGACCGTTGTGGTGCTCTCGCAAGGGGTAACCCTCGACTAGTTGTTCTTGAATCCGTGTCTTTGTTTCGTTCATACCGAGACAGAGGTATGCTTGCCTAAGGGAGCGTGCAAAGTGGTTCGGCCCACTAGTGTTAGTTTACTGTTTTGTTCGTTTTTTTTTCATTTGAAATATTCTTAAATATATAATTTGAATAATAATTGAGGTAATTAGCTTAAAGAGGTTAAAAATGTGCACTGTGAATATGTCATAATGTAGTTTAGAAAGTTTGTTTTCATAATTTTAATAAATGTTCATAACATTCAAGAAAATTGTTTGTGACATTTAAAATACACACCCATTTTCAAAAATATATTTGACATTTCAAAAATATTATACAATGTAAAAACATTGTTCATGTAATCAATTTTCCCCTACCTTTCAAACAAATTTATGTTATTACATTTGAAATAATGTTCATGATTTTAAAAAATATGTCTTGATATTTTATAAAATATTTGCACAATGTAAAAAATGTTCCCATTGTTCTAAGAAATAGTTTTGTAACATTCAAAAATTGTTTCAACATGTATTTAAAACATGTTTAACACATATTTGGAAAAATGTTCAAAATACGTAAAATATTGATCATGTATTTCAAAAACATTAAACATGTAATTATTTTAGGTGCACTAAAAATTATAGTGTTTATGAGATAAAATAGACATCAAAACATATATTATAAAAATGTTAAATTTTATGAAATAATGTGTTTGAGTACTTTTTGGACCAGAAGACACCTAGGAAACTAACAGCGAGGGCAAATTTAGGACAGTATGACTGTCAGACCAACGGATGAAGGATGGCAACATCTGATTAATCAGATGAGCAATTCAAGATAAGCACAAAAAGGATTTGATTTAGCAATAACTTAATCCACATTTAAACTTGGCCAAAGAAGTAAGTACTTCAGAGTATAGTAGTCTTTAATGATTTTTTGATGACCCAACTCGGTGGCATTTAATCAAGAGCTTGCTTCTCTTCTGTCATCCCTTCTCCCTCCTTAAACTAAGTAAAGATATAATACTTTAGTTTTTATAGCCTGTTTATATCACCTTATTGTACTTACTCTTATTCGGTTTGATCTCAGGAATGAATTCAATGCAAATAAAAGGTCCAAAACTGATCGAAACAAATTAATGCTGGCCTTGGTTTCTCTCCTCGAAACGAATTAATCCTCATGTATTTATATCCTTATTACCAAGGCACAACGTCATAGCAGATCGATCACAGCAAACGATTCCTCCGTCTGTCTCCCCGGAAACGTTCGATCCTCTCGGCCATCCTCAGGGACAGTTAGCAATGGCGTACAGCCTGAAGATGGCCTGTGTCGCCATCGCTCTCGCCGCCACCGCGCTCCTCTTCACCATCCCACGATCTCAAGGTATAACACGCGTAGCGGCTCGACATGCGCGCGAGCAAATATTTGCATTTTTTCTGTTGCGATCGCTGATTGTTTTTTCTGCCGTGATTGATGACCAGCATGGGATGCGGACATGGTGCCGGTGGGGGCGCCGGAGCACGCGTTGACGGCGATCCCGGGCGGCGGCGCAGAGACGTTGGCAGCGGGGGCGCCGGTGTGCCTCCAGTGCCGGTGCTGCTCCAGGTCGAACTCGGGCAGCTGCCAGATCACCAGCTGCTGCTCCACCTTCAACTGCGACCCCACCGGCAAGTGCAACGTCGTGCAACAGAAGTGCGGCTGCAACGGCTGCTAACCGGCCGGTCATCACCGTGCTAGCTGCCTCCGTGCCAATTTTTTCTATGGAGGAGCCAAATGTTTTCTTTGAAAAATAAAATCTCCCGTCTATTTTGTGTACTGCCAAATGAAATTGTTCCATCGTCGTGTTCGCGGGCCACAAATGCAGAGATATTACTATGTTATTACTGGGCCTAATAGAGGCCCACTATGTTATTGCAAGAAGGGGCAATTAAATTAGGCCACATTCTTCAGCCCGTGAAGTCTGTTGAAACCTCCCCGTGAATTTAGTATTATCGTTTTCAAACTCGCTTTAAAAAGGGCGGATTTTGATTTTTTTTGCCACGATTTACTTCACACTTTGACAATTAGCCACTCGTTACTTTGTGTTTGCTTATTTGCCACTGGTTAGTTTGGACTTGGATGTTTTGCCCCTGTCACGAGGGACCCGTGTGGAAATCACCAGATTGCCCATGCCCGTCCAATTCACCAAGGAGATGAGCTTGTCTCCTCGCTCGTTCCCAATCCGTCTCTTGTCCGTCGCTACTGGTCCTCGACGGAAGACGGCGGCGGCTCGTCCCGGCGGTTCCCCGTGGTCCTCGCGTGCTTGTCATGATGCAGGTGATGCTGTTTGCCACCGCCGGTCCCGCATGCTCGTGCATTGCCGTCGCTCTGTTATGCCGCCGCTGCTTCTTCATGCCTTCCCGTACTATTGCTGCTGTTCGTGGCCGGCCCATACTGCTGCTGTTGTTCGTGGCCATGTGTGCTACTGCTGCTTACTGGTGGTCGGCGGAAGGCGCGGTGGAGGCGCTCGCTGCTGCCTGACTCCACTTGGGCGCCGTCGTGTTCGGCCTTAGCGTGTACGTACATGGGCGCCACCGTCTTTGCTGCTGCTCCCCGCCACTGCATGTTGCTGCTGCCTATCGGCTAGCTCGAGCCGGCATGCCCGCTGCGTGTAGAGGAGCGTCGCCGTCGACTGCCGTGCGAACATGGGATGAGGATTGAGTTCGTCCCGTGCGTCGAGTTCGTGGCAAACATGCACATAAGGGTATATTTGTCCACTGTATTGTGCATATAATATGTTTGTCATTTGCAATTATTGTTTGTGTGTGAAAAAGTGGCAAAAGATCAATTACAATCTAAGCAGTGGCAAATTGTCAAAGTTCAAAGTAAGTAGTGGCTGAAAATCAAATCGCCCCTTTAAAAAAGGCATGTGATTCTGTTTTGCCGGCCGTTCTGATTTTCTCTCCCAAGTCCAAATGGTGCTCCTAGATCCATAATATATGCATCTCCACCATCGCGCCATTGTTGGCCCTTGGTCAGATCACCTTCCTGTCTCGACTAACATACCAGTTTCATGTAGTCTATTTCGATTGCATTGTTGTGCTTTTACATATTAAATCCGAGTTACACATGTTCGACTCAAATACCTAACTTCCAATATACACCAAGTCGAGTTGTAACGCTATACACATATTTGACACCAACTCTAACATCAAGCTAGGAGTAGAGTTACCTAAAAAAAGCTATAAGTACGAGAGTCTAAATATAAAAGCTTTGCCTAATGTTATTGCAGAGGTAATGGGGCACAATCTTCTCATGGAGCTTGACATGTATGGACACAAAATAACATGTTTGCATTTCCATAATCCGGGAGCCACCTAATTATCAACCAATCCTATTTTTCAGGCAAGAACCACACTTTGTAAGATAAAAGAGTTATACACGTGGCTTTGGTATTTTGTTTCATCATCTCTTGAGTTCAGGTAGCCGATGGATTCACCCAACCATTTTATTGGACTTTTTGAAGACTTCAATTGGTTGGGTTCTAGGAGCTATTTTAGAAAAACTTTTAGTTAGTTTTTCTGTTGAAATATCTTTGTTTGGATTAAAAAATCACTTGTAATTCACCACGATAATTAGATGATCTCTTAGCACGGTATCTCTCACCCCATATTTAGGTATATTTAGTTATTGAAAATAAGAACAAGAGATAACTTATTCTACATGTATTTTTATTGACATCTCTAAATTATGTGACAAGATTAAGATAATGTTGTCTTATAGACCACGGTACAAGCCCATATGTCCTTAGAGAACCACAGTTAGTTAGCAGTTCTGACTGTAATATAGTATCCGGTTGTATAGATTAGAGTGGATCCGTTTAAACCAGCTATCTTATAACTCAAGTTTGTACCATGTTTTCATGAATACACCATGGAGAGGTGTACCAGTAACATGGAAGAAGAGCAAGACGACAGATACAACTGATACAACGCCTTGTGGCACACCACACACATCTACCATAGTTACAAACGGTGCACAACTCGCCTAGTCCAACTCAAGCCATGAAAGGCAAATAGGAAGGACACAGAGCCCGAGGCCGCCTCACAATCGATGCCGAACACGTCAGAAGCATGACGAAAACTCTAGGTCACACTAGCTCAATGTACCCTGCACTCTTGCGCCTAAGAGGCCGACAAGTGAGTGGGAGACAACCGAACTAGAGGAAGAAGTCACCCAACAGGTCTTGACGGTGATGTACATTGGCCCATGTGCCAACGGTAACCAACACCAAACACCACACCGCCCAAGCTTCGCGAGATCGACGAAGTAACCAACACCAGCCTCCACTGTGCTATAGCCCTGGGCACCTAGACATGACTTCCAAGGAAGGGATGACGCCGCAACAACGTCGCTGACGGGTCCGACGAACCGGACCTAAGGTTTACCCTGGTGCCTAATGGGACAATCAAGATCAAGAGAGTGAATTGAAAAAACCACCACATTTGGGGCATCATTTGCAAGAAACCACGAGGTCACTAATCATTTGCAAAAACCACAACGCATTTAGTAAACTTTTTGCAGTTTGCACTGATAGGACGATTTGATGCGTTTGAACGCGTTTCCGGCAGTTGGAGCCCGATTTCCCCCTACGTGGCATAACGGCTGGGAGACGGCGCCGTCTGCTCGAGACGACTTCGTCGGCTCGCGTCGGACAGACCGACTGTGCCGCCCCTCTCCATAGTTCTAGCTCTCTGCTCTATTTCTCTCTCGCGCTCTCAACCTTCCTCGGCCTCCTTTCCTCTCCGCTCGTCGACAGCCGCCATGGTGTCTTGGAGCAACAGCGAGAGCAGTGAGGACTCTGACGTGCAGTTCATCTCTTCCTACGCCTCCCCTATTAAGCACTACAAGAAATATGTCAACTTGTGACCTTCTGTTAGTGACCCTGGAAGAATTGGTCATAGATCTATGACCATTTCAGACCAATTGGTCAAAAGTTGTTCGGGGGCTCCAAAACCTAAACTATAACGACCATTTTGGTCAGAAAGGTCGTAATTTCCTTACACGAAATGGTCATAAAGCAGATAGCATTGGTTTGCTGCCTTATTTCTAGCTGATCATGACCAATATAGATGGTCATAACCTTGTAAATTATGGTGGGTTGCTATGACTAGGCGCCACCTCATCAGTTTTGCCTATGTGTCATGTCCATGTGGCAGTTTTACCCTAGGTTGTGAAGCAACCTATATTTCTGTCATTTCCAAAATTCCCAAAAAAATCTCATAAATTCTTTGGGTCATATCTTCATCAAATATGTAAAGATCCTTCCTTGCCTAGTTCAAAACTAATTCAACAATATTCATTTTCCTATTCTGTTCACGACAGCACTTTATGAAGGAAGTGCTATTTATATATTCTTGATTGCCCTCGGAATTTTTGGGCACTCTTTCCTATCCAAATCATTACCGCATGACAAAATTCAGCTCCACTTGCCTAGCAAATCTTCCTCGGCAAATTTCCAAAGTTTTTGTCCACCTAGAAGCATTGTGAAGGAAGTACCTTTTTTATATATCGAAATGACATGAAATTTATACAGTTCCTTCATATGCCCAAATTATCACCCTCCTCCAAATTGCAGCTCAGTCAAATCATCTATGTGAGCCCAGGTTCAATTTATATTTTATGGCCAAATTGGCACGTTGCAAAGCAAGTGTTATCTAGACCCCTCCTATTACCCTCAAACTTTTCGGTCACTCTTCCATACCCAAAGCATTGCCACATGATAATATTCAGCTCAATTTTCCTAGTAAATCTTTCTCAGGAAATTTTCAAAGTTTCTACCTCGAGAGAAGCTTTGTGAAGTAAGTACTAGCTAGGCTTACCCAAATGATCTGAAAATTTACCAGTGCATGACCATACCTATGTAACTTACCTACACCAATTTTTAGCTCATTTCATTCATCCAATCTCTCTCACTAGTTTCCTCAAGTTTCTGTCCATAGAAGAGAATTGTGAAGGAAGTACCACTTTGGCATTTCCAAATAGTATCCATTTTCTACAGTGGTTTCCTATGCCCAAATAACCATCCTCCACCTAATGCCAGCTCAATCCGTTCATTATTTTGAGCCGAGCTTCAACATTCGTAGTTATGTCTAGTGTGGTAGTTCGCAAAGAAAGTACCACCTAGGCTCCTCCTTTTGAGCTGAAAATTTGTGAAGACGGTCTTCTTAGTAACTGATTATCCTCAGCCAAAACTCACGCCCATTAGCCATGTACATTTCCCGTATCGCTAATCAAACACTTGGCTGTTAATTCATGTTTGAGCATCGATCGGTCTCCTCGTGAGAATCTTATGTTGTAATTTTCTTCCTAGCACCAACCTGGGGAGTGACCAACCCACTAGACATGCCTAGGCCGCCCAGAACGCATGGCAACGCCATGGTCACGCGGTGACCACGCGGCGGGCATGCGAGTTTACGCGCTCTAGAGTTGGGGCCCTCGGCCACTGCCCAAACCTCTACGTATCGCCACCAAACCATGTATTTATAATTAAATATGTCCTTATGTAACTAGAAATGATTTTTGGAAAAATAAATAGCAAACTATGAGGCAGCTGCAGTTCAAATTTGACCCGCTTCCTGCTGAATCGGTGGAAATTTATCTTTTTCACGAGAGGTGGATCAAAAAAAATTACACCCAACCATTTTGTCAATTGTGCATTAAATATGTCCTAGT